AAATGCTAGGATTTGATAAACTGAGTGTTAATCATATTATTCTCAATACTTTACTATGTTTGACATGTCATAATTGAATATATACAAAAAAACCCTTAAAATTCAATGATAAGGAAACAACCTTATTTAAAAGTGGGCCAAAGACCTTAACAGATACTTCACCAAGGAGACCTACAGATGTCAAGTGAGCATATGAAAAGATGCTCCACATTGTATATCATCAGGGAAATGCAAATTAAAACGAGACACCACTACATACCTATTGGAATACAAAAATTCAAAATACAACACCAAATGCTGGTGAGAATGTGGGACAACAGGAACTCTCATTGTTGATGGGAATGGAAGAATGGTACAGGCACTTTGGAAGATAGTTTGGCTATCTTTAGTTTCTTAGCAAACTAAACATCCTCTTAATCATATGATCTAGTAATCATGATTCTTAGTACAGTAAGTCCCCAACTTACGAACACTCGAGTTGCAAACTTTCACAGATATGAATGGACCTCGCATTACGAACATTCGTAGATGCGAACAAATCTAGGAAGTAGCTCACGTGTCTGCTGGACATTGTCAGTTGTGCTGTGTGCTTACTGTACAGTGCGATAGTGTACAGTAGTACAGTGCTCAGAGCCCAGGATGTCTGGAAGCAAGAGGAAAAGCAATGGTGATGTAGAGGGGACTGCTAGAAAGCGCAAAGCAATACCCATGGAAACAAAAGTGAAAATAATTAAGAGTGGACCGAGGCGAAAAGATGGTAGACGTTGCTCGTTCTTATAACATGAATCGTTCAACCACTGGTTTTACATTGTATATTTGTGTCAAAGGTGTATAAGACTCACTTTGTCAGACTTACAAACCTGTCGGATTTACGAACGTTCTCCCGGAACAAAACTCATTCGTAAGTCGGAGACTTACTGTATACATATTGAAATGAGTTGAAAACTCATGCCCATGGGGGCCGGCTGAGTGGCACATTGGTTGAGAGCTGGCTTGGGATGCCAGAGGGCCTTGGTTCGGATCCCACATATGAGGGCCAGTGACACTGCCCTCTACAGCTAAGATGCTGAACAACAGCTCAAC